ATTGGCGCATGTTGTAAGAAAACATTAATTGAATTGTAATTATACCTTATCCCTCTTCTCCTGTCTTCCACGACAGAATACATTAGAAGCTCTGTTCTTATCTAGGTGTTGTCTGTGTAGCTCAGGATTTATGTTTCAGCCCTTTTAGACAGGATCTGAAAATGCATTATCTTCCTGGCTTTAAAACAACTGTGTATTCTCATGTGTCAAGTACTCACTGGCTCCTTTCCCTCATCAGGTGACAAGTGAAGTATCTGTCCCCTGTGAAGAAGTTGCCTCTAATCTCTGAAAAAGGTTTCCAGATGACCCTTTCTCTCTCCTCTCTTTTACCAAGAGCTCCAGCACATGCCACGGGTAGCACTTTTTTTGTTGTTTTCTTAAGAATCCTGCCTGTGGCCACAAGATCCCAAACCTAATTTTCATTTTCTCTCTGTAGCTTTACAGAGAGGTTGCAGGCCTCTTTCCTCTCGAGTATAAGTCTACAGAAAAATAAATACTTTAAAAATAGGAGCTAGTACATCAGTGATGAGACTTCTCTTTAATTACACCTCCATGTAGCAAATCTTCTCTTGTCCTGCTTTGAGTGAAAAGAGAGGTTTCTTGGTTTTTGTGTTTGTTTTGTTTGGGGTTTTTAATTTGTTTTGGTTTTTTAATTTTCTTTTTCTAATTAAATTGCTTTTTAAATAGGAGGCTAGCTATCAGCCCAAGTACATATTTCTTTTCGAGTCACTTGGATATTATGAAACAGTAGAGTTATAAGATTGCCTCAGGCCTTTAAATGGTAGCCCTTTGAATTGTTTGTGAAACTGTTTTTTGCACATGGAAATTGACAGGTTTGTTTTTTGCTTAAAAGCAGCAGCAGAACATTTATCTACTACTGCTTTATTTCTTGCAAGCTCTATGTATGAATATAAGTTAATTTTCATGTTTCAAGAGTGGGTAAATTCTCTCATGATTCCCTGAAAAATAGTCCTTTGGAAAAAAGTCCTTTTTGTTGCTGAATCATAGGAACATTTGGTGATGGCTGAGACTTATATAAACACAGCTACCTGACTCAGGTGCTGACTGTGACATTTCTGCCTTGGTAATAGTGTCATGTTTTCTTGCATTACAAACTGATTTACAAATTAACAGTGATGTGACTAACATCCTAGTACTATGAACAAATCCATGAAGATAAATATATCCAGCTAACTGTAACCATATTTTTTTTTATATTTCTCCCATCCTCTTCTGACTCTGTTCCAGTAAATGCTGCTGTTCAGATGGAGGCTGCAAATGGGTATTTAATAGATCTTCAATTATATTTTGGTGTATCTAGAGTACAGATGTGTTACTGTCCTGGATTTTAAAGACAGAGAGCATGTTTGGGATCAGCTGTGCTCTGCTCTTCTGAAGTCTCTAACAGATACAAGCATATGTTTTGGTCTTGGGCAAGTGTGGAAGTCAGGGCTACAGCAAACCTGCCCAGCTGCTAGATTGATGTAATATCCAAACAGCTTGTGGGTGGTTTGTCCTGCTTGTGTCATCTCTTCTTAGGGTGAGTGTACCTATGTTTGTAACATTACAATAGCTGTTTTAAACCTTTCACGTCCCTTTTTTTTTCCCTCCAAAAGTTGCTGATACTGCTCAGACACCTGAGCAATATCACATATCCACGTGACTGTCTAGCTATTACATATAGCTAGACACAAAAAACTGTGTATATGAACAGTATAAAGTATAACATCAATCAATATTGTAGCTGTAGCAATAGCAGTAAGAGCAAACTTGCTATTTCCAGTGCCCATAAAGAGATTCTAAAGGTCTGGTTCTTCTCTGTTTGGTGTTAACTAAGTGAGAGAGATCTGCAAATTATGGTTTTGCACCCTTTTGTACTTTGATTTCACTCTAACTCTGAAGCCTTACAGGCTTTCTGAAGTTTTAAGAAATGCTTTCCATGTGTAGCACACTTCAGAATTCATAAAAAAGCATCACTCTTTATCAACCGACAGGATGTTAAAACAGACTTTAAGTCTGCTTTAAGTTTTTCAGCAATACTTTAGAGTCTTCCAAGTTAGTCATACTTGTCAGACCTGGAATAAAACTAAGTGCAGTGAAAAGCCCTGTAAGCAGTTGATTTAACTTCTGGTTTTGAGCTTCAAAACATATTTGTATGCAAACCAAATGTGGCACAGACTCAGAAAATCACAGTGCTTCCCCCTCTCAAATGAAGACAGTATGCCACAGGAATAGCAACTTGAGAAGGTCTGAGTTGTTGCAAAATGTCAACAAACTGTAAACATTAATCTCTTATGAAGTCTTGCTGCTGTTCCTTTCCCTCCTCATTTGCTGACCTTCTGACAGCAGGTATTTTATTTATTCTGATGTGCTAAATAGCATATACTAAACTCCTGGTTTCGCTGTTATTGCCAGTCTTTGGTTTTCATAGCAGGACAATTTTCTGAAGTGCTCATGTCTTAGCAGACGGAAGTTTGTCTTTAAATGGTTACATGACTTGAGAGAAAGTGACCACAGCTAAAAAAGTTACCACACAGTAGCTGAGCCACGAGAGATGGTCCTGTGTGTGCTTGCTGTCCTTCACAGATGAATGTCCCGAACTTTTTAGCTGAAAGGGTGTTGTACAGACAAGTCATTTTGCTATGGTTCTGCTCAGGTGTCAGCTGCAAAAAGCACCAGCACAAGGTTACTATCTTTTCTGACCTATGCTCTGGCACTATGAGAGCCGTTGTGCCTGTAGGACATGCATTGAGCTAACCAGCTTCAGGGGGCATGGGATGGAGGAGAGCTGTATGGCTGTAGTCTCAGGTCCTGCATAACAAAAAGTAAAAACCTGGTTACCAAAAGATGATAGTTTCTCTAGTGTGGTTCTGAAGTTAGTATACTGTTACAGACTTGGGTACTAGCTGTGCTAACCAGATGACTGTCAGTATCCCTACGATGCATTGACCAGAAGGCTAGCGTTGCTACCTTGTGTTTCATAATCTTTCATGCTCTCATATTCTTGATCCTGCCTCCAGGTTCTCACATTTGCTTGTATAATTTTTAGCCTAGCAGCTTGGGGGAATTTCTGATCTGCTTCAAACTTGAGCCAGCCAGTCTGTTTTATGTCTCTGAATTTTATTCTCACCACACCGAGACAGTCTTAAGGGGCACTGAACAGTGGACCTTTAATTTGCTGAGGTGCTCTTTAAAGTTGAAAAGTTGTTTACAGCCAAATCAGAAAGGAATGCCTCCCGTGTGAGGTTAAAATACCTGTGGAGGCTCCCTCTGCCAAGCTGCAGGACTAGCCACATCCAATGAGCTCTTCAGGACACCCCTGAATTAATGGTGCTTGCCTCAGTAGTCCCTTATCATTCCGTTTGCAAGAGACTTTGCATGCACTTAATCTGAGCTTTTAGTAATGAAGAAATGCTCTTCCAGGGGTTGGTTGCTTGCCCCTAGTTACCTTTACAGTGCAGGCCAGAAGTTAAAGATGAGATGTACCTCTGGAGACATTCCCTCCTTCTAAGTGGAGGCAAAATATCCCAGTGCAGAGGTAGGCTAGTCCGGTTCCCATTGGAAATTCCTGAAGTTAATTGAGGCAGAAGTGTCTGGGGCAGGGTGTGGTGCACCAGCCCCAGGGCCACCCGGCCTGGGGCCATCCCTCCTGCTTCCTCCCTGCACAGCTGTTCCCAGTCCATGTCAGGTCTAGCTAGGGTGTGCGTGTGCATCATATTACTTCTCTGCAGCTGTTCTTGGCCCTGAGCTCATGGGGAAACCTCTGGCGGAAACTAAAAGGGTTTTAAATCAGTTTGGAACCAGACAGAGCCCTTACTGGTTACAGGTGTTTTGTAACCATGCAGATGGTTACTCTTAGTGCTCGGAAAATTGTTTGCTCTTGCTGGAGACCTGCAGGGCTGGCCTTCTGCAGGAAGCCAGTCTGCTGTTGGCAGTGTTGACCAGACCAGATTCAGTGTTCTTTTGTCCCTCTGGGTGGCAAGGGGCCAAATGTTCCTTTCGTCCTAATGCTGATGGTGACATGCCATGGATGTATGTATCCTGTGCTGTATTTGTGCTAAAGCTGTGTGGTGAGATAGTGTGTGTGGTGCTCAGTGTTCTCTTGAAAATACAGGATGAGCTTGGTCTACATCCTTTGCAAACAGACTGTGGTTTATTTCCAGAGATATAAGGGACTGGAAGAAGAAAGGAAGAAATTTGCTTTTGGAAAGGCAGACCAAACACTGAAGTCAAAGATTTATTTTAAAGGCTTTGCTACAAATGACTGCTTCTTGAAAGAGAACAGCACTGTGGGTTTAAGTTGAGGCAGTGCGGAAGGCTGGCACTTTGTGCTGCCTGGAGGCAGTACTGACTGAGAGAGATGTTAGGGAGAAAAAGCAGCTACATGGGTGAGCTGATAGGAGAGGAGCTACTGGAGCAGGAGTGGCAAAGAAAGGGATGATGAGTTCAGAACAAGTTGGGAAAATAGCTTTTGTGGATAGCTACTTTAACAACTACCACTAGCTGAGAAATAGCTGGGTGGTTGTGAGACAGAGTGGTGTTTAGGAAAGCTAGGGAGAAGTACAGAGCAGAAATAAAGGCAAAGTTCAGCTGTGCAGACAAGTAGCTGAATGGTATACGTTTAAGATACTGGGCAGAAAAGATCTTGGTAATTAATGCACAGATATATGGAACTGCCTGGATGAAGGTGGTACTGAAGTTACAGGTGCTGGGGAAGGCAGTGGTCTTCTGCCCAGTAATCATGAAAGAAGGTAGCTGAAGCAGGGAAACAGGTAAGCTTAGCTTACGTCCTTGAGCTCACAGCTGAGCATCTCTGAAGAGATCAATAAGCAATTGCATAGGAGGCACATCTCATGATCAGAAGTTGGTATGAGAGTGTTTGGGACAGAGAAAGAAGCTGAATTTGTTTTCTGAGTAGGTGCAGAAGAGGGAACAGCATGGTCATGGACTGAGCCTCACAGATTCCTGAAGAAGGTTGGAGACGTGAAGGCTTTCTTCAAATGAAAAGCAGAGTCATGAAGCATTGTGTCCAAGAAGCATGAGAAAGAAGGAGAAGTGCTGGGTTTCTTTGTGGGTAGAGACTGTGCTGAAGATGTTGAAGCATAACTGCATTTTTATGGGGGAGTGAAAGGGAAGAATACAAAGGAGAAGTGTAGGAGTGTGGCACAATGCCAATCAGGAAAAAAGTTTGGGGGAGAAAGTAGTGAGATTGTCTGTGATGGGGTTCCTATGAAGAGCACATACAAAAGAGGCTGTCTTGCTTTTGTGTCTGTCTCTTGGAAGAAATAGCAAGAGGTGAGCAGGGAACTGAGCAGAACATGAAATCCCACACTTCCCATCGGCTTGATCATTGGGATGGAGCAGAGCTGCTTTGGGGCAGGCAGTAGAAGGGGAGAAGACAGAATTTGTTACAGAACTTGTAACTGGTGGCATCTTGAGACTAGTGATGACTGCTGTGAGGGTAGGAGCAGAGCAAGAGTGCTGGGTGAGCTGGGGAAGACATGGCTGGGGGAGAAAGGGAGAACAGAGAAACACACATGAATGTGACAGCAAAGCTTTGAAGTCCTAGTTTAAGTCAGCCAGCATAAAACCATTTACATTCAGTGTCATGCCACCTCCTCTGGCTTAGCCTCTGTTCCTTCTCACTGATAAAGGAGCCACGATCGGGTCCTCCCCATTTTGAAAATCTCACAGGTAACCAGAAATTACCGTCTATGCAAGGATAAAAGTTTTTATCTGTTCTGATATTTACTTCATGGGAGAAGTAGATGGCTAACATAATTCATGTTGATTATGAAATGTTGCTCTTTAAAGTTTTCTGATTACAATAGCCTGAACTCAAAGCCAGCAATAAACTAGAGGGATGGCACCTCATAAAAACAGGGAATTTTGTTTTTGCCCCTGTACACTTTGGAAACTTAACATTTAAAGAAAAAAAATGTGGTCTGTTTTGCTTGCAAATAACTCTTTCATTTCACAAAATAGCAGCCCATCAAGTAAACAAACCTCAAAGTCCTGCTCCCTCCTCTCTTCTGACCTCTGGTTCCCCTCCCACCAGGAAAAAAAGCACTTTATTGCTCTTGGTCAACCTGTATAAGTTTTGGTCAGCTAGCTGTGATTTTCAACACAACTTCTATTGGAACACTTAGATTTTTCTTTTTTTGCTAATTTTTCTTGGCATCTGTTTTTGCTCAGGGTTCCTGCTTGATTATAGCATTTTGCTGGGTGTTTTTTGTCATCTAGCTGCAGACAGCAAGTATAGTTACTGGCTGATACTTCGGAGGATCTTGGTGCAGATCTTATTCTTTGTGAAAGAAAATGTGTAGCTCTGTCTGACCAAATTCTTCTAAAAAGTTCCCTTGGACCCTGCTGTCCTCTTCTGCAATAGTAGATGCTGTATTTGCATTAGATAAATATGTCAAAACAATGGACTTCATTATGGAAAACTAATCTGCTTGTTAAAACTGTTAGTTTATCAAACAGTGTAATACAGTATTGTTCTGGCAGAGACTCTGCTGGCAGACACTAGTCATCGTGTCTCTTTCTATGGAGGGGTATACTTAAGATGAACTCTGTTTGTAGCTTAGAAAAGCAGATAGTCATCTTGGCTATCTGTGCAAAGCTGTTGGAATTTGTAGTTTCTGGAAGATCTGTGGTGGATGTTATCTTGAAGTCCTGGCTGAATACAATGCAGAGCGGCCAGTCTCCAAGCTGTGTGGTACTGCGGAACTTACTACTGTGATACTCTCTATCAGCCTCATGAGAGGTGGTGAATGAACGGCCACTGCTGAAGCTTTTTTTTTTTTTTCTCCACTTCTGAAAAGACCTGTCAACAATGGTTGCTGCCTGTGAATGTGCACAGGGTGAATTATCCAGCTGAGCTACTACTACAGTAGTACTAACCTTTAAACAGCAAAACACCCATTTTATCTGCTTAGATCTCTTTAAAAGAGGCTTTTTCCCTCTGCACACTCCTTTCAGTTCCCTTGCCTTGAAGAGCTGCATCATGCAAAAAGCACAAGTGACATCACTTGGATTTGTTTATGGTTGTCCAGTTCCCAGGTGAAGGAAATTGTCTTTTGGACTTTCCTGAGGCTGCACGTGTGAACAGGTTCATTTAATTACACAGTGTTTGCGTCAGACCTTAGCACCCCAAGTCTGCAGTTGTGTCCCAATGGCTGGATGGTTACCCATGTGTCATGCTGTGCTGATACAGATGTGTCTGCTGGGCCCTTTCACCAGCCATCCTCATGTGGCAGCTTAAGCTGAACTTTGGGTCAAATCAAGGTGTACACGAGTACCCTTGCTTCTTCCCTCTTACCTTTCCAATGTTACTTTCCT